ATAATAATAAATATATATATATATATATATATGTACATGTACATTTTTATGACACATAAGAAAGAATTCTGCAAAAATTCTCTGCTTTGAAAAGGAATTTTTAAGTAAAAAAATTCGATTTAACACCCTGTAATTTCATACGTATCGCAGTATAGTTGTAACAACTTCAAAAGTTACAAGAGAAAAATATCAAGCTGATTAAATGATTAGGAAATGAATTAATATTATAAAATGTAAAATAATAACTGCACGACGCGGAGAAATTTTTCTTATAACGAAAATAGTGATTTCTGATTGATTTGGTTCACTTTTAATTTTCGATAAATTCAATTTTGAAACGTATCTCCTGTTAACATATAAATCCTTGCTCTTTGAAATCAATTGAAAATTAATTACTTGATTAGGTATTGTATTGTTGTGATTGTACATTTTCAGGCTCAGAGCTGAAAATTTCTTCTGCTTTTCGAAATTGAACTTTTTCCAAAATTAAGAGCGATGGAGAAAGCCCGGACTTCAAATTCGTAATCAGGCGGCAGAAATCTATTGAAAATCTATTAGAAAAGAGTTATTGATATTTGTCGGACAGTGTAATTATCACAGATAAAGGAAAACTCCAATGCATTTTACTAACTGATTTTGTTTGAAACTCAAATTGATTAACCAACCAGTATATGGAAGTTGATTGATCACAAACAGCGAACTATGACTCGCCATGTGATTTCTTTTTATCTTTGTTTATCAATAACATGTGTCTGTTTTTGTATTAATAAACGCGAACATTGACACGATTAAACATCGAGAGATATTTTTGTGCAATGTTATCATTATCTCATTGGAAAGAAAGAAAAAAGAAAAAAGAAAAAAAAACAGAAAAGAATTAATCAACCTGGAAGAGACACAAAATCTTGAAGGGGCTCGAAAACAGTGGATTTCCACTTACTGCGACAGGGACCAAAGAAGCAGCTAGAACAAAGAAACAACTCTTATAAATAATATCTTGAAAAAGATGAGTCAAAACACGATATGAAATGCTTGGAAAAGTAAATCGAATTTTTTTTCGTGATTCACACTCGAGGAGAAATACCTAAGCAAAAGATATGAAAAAAAAAAGAATAAAAAGAAGAAAGAAATTAATTAAAATTGTCGCCTCTGTTCACGTAGTGTCTACGAAGAGGGACATCACACAGCGCAAAGATGTTTAGCAAAATGAGCTGTCTGAATTGTTGCAGGACGTCGATCTGGATGGATGATCCCGACTCAAGGACATATATATATGTCGTTTGCCGAAAGCTGGATCGAATGATGGACATTTCATTGCTTGGTAAAGCAAAGTGCCATTGTCCAGAATTTATTTATTTCCTCCTGCTATTTGCGATCGAGGAAGACTCTTTCAAACGAGCAAACGCGAGTCGCAAGCATTCAGTTCTAAATCACATAAAAATATAAAGTGAAATGGCGTATTTAATCATTTAGAGAGCAGTATGTGGAATGTTATACTGTCGTCGAACCCTTTCGATCCTTATCGATACTTATCGCGTGAACGCTTCCTCCTGCTTTCGCCCGTTCTGAATGGCATTTCGGCTTCCGTTTGATTAAATGTGTACGTGACCAATTAACTCAGGTAATTATGACATTACGACCATGAACTTTATGGAACTGGATAATCCATGAAAGAAACACAAAAGTTACGTAAAGTCATTTAAGTTATCGGATTAACTTGCGAATGTAACATCCCTCAATAAGTATTTTTTAGTAAATAAATGATTAAATATTGTTTGGAATATAATTAGAATTAAAATTGAAAAAGTTCCTTGCAACTAAATCAACTTTATCCAGTTCCAATATGCCACAATCTTCAAATAGAAATTTCATCACAGAGAGAGAGAGAGAAAAAGAGAGGGAGAGAGACTTTAAAATACATTTCGTGTTTGTTAAGGGACGAGCAAGCGGACGAGCACGTTCGTTTGCGAAAAAGTTTGGAACAGTCGAATAAGAATTGTCGAATCTTGTCGTTTAAGCTGAGGAAAGTCGAGCGAAAGGTGGAGGAGCTAGAAACTGAGAAGATCAATTTGGAGAAAAAATACGACGAGGCAAGTTTCCTTATAAAATTGGAAGCAAAGATAATAAGAGTAACAGGTGTATTTTGTTTCAGGTGAAGAAAGTCGAGGAAACGTTGCAAAAGATCAAAGGGGAGTTTCAAAACAGGCCTCTGAAAAAGGCAACTGAATTTACGACTAAAGTACAGTTGAAAAAGATGGTGGAGGAAATGGAAAAAGAAATAGGTTTGTATATGGTATCACTTTTTTGTTATTAACTAAAGTTGTATGAAGATATTAAGTATCAATTAAATATTACATTAAATTATTATTGTACCAACACTATATTAAACGCTTCAACATCTCTGTAATGAAGAAAGATTTTTAGTTACAAAATTACAAAATTAAATAATAAACAGAATGCATTCTTTAGGAGACATGATGATTGTCTTCACGAATATTTCCGACGGGAAAGAGATAAACATTCAGGATATAAAACTCAAGGATAACCACGCGAAATACGACAAACTTTCAAAGGAGCACGAATTACTTAAGGAGAAGCTCGACTCTGTTATGAAAGAATTATCGGACGAGAAAGAGAAAAAGAAATCCAATGTTAAAATAGAAGAAAAAAGTACAGACTTGCAAAACAGTGAGTATTTTACATTTTTTTTTCTCTCTTTTTTCAACAAGCTTTAACGCGATAGGTAAGTCATAATAGATCTATTCCGATCTGAAATGCTTCAGTGAAGAAGAAACTGGAAGAGGTAGTGACATTGAGAGAAAACGAAAGGAAAACATGGGATCAGGAGAAAACAGCACTGCTCGAGGAAAAAGACAAATTAAAATCAAAGCTCCTCTCTCTATCCGCGGAGAAACTTAAAGTGTATAATGAGACCGTACAACTAAAGAAGGATCTGGGTAACGAAATTATTATAAAAAAAAAGAATTTTTTTCTAAAGATAGTGAATTTTTTTTTACAAACAATAATTAATTTCCTAATTGATCTTTCTCGTTTCTTTATTTTGTCGCTATGTAGAAACAGCAAAAACGTTTGAAAACGATAGTGTAAATTTAGAGAAAACGATAAGCGATTTGAAGAAAGAATTGCTTCAGGAACAAGATAAGTCCAAGAAGCAGCAAGATGACTTGTCAGCGTATACGGAACGAGAATCGAAAATGAAACAATCAATGACATCGGTAATTACCTTTTTGTATTTACACGAGTTTCGGTATTGAGATACCAATGCAAATGTTGACGTAATGCAGGTTGAACAAATAAAGACCAAGCTCGACAGTGAATTAAAACGCCTGAAGAAGGAGTTGGAGAATACAAAAACTTCTAATTCCACGAAAATAAATGACCTGACTGTAGAGGTCGCGGAATTAAAGAAAGAAAGGGAAAAATTACTGTCGCAGATCGATCAGGAAAAAGAATCGAAGGAGAGTGAGCTTGCAACCCTAAGAAAGAAGATCAATACGTTGGAGAAAACAGGAATGAATACGAAACGCATGAATGAAATGAGACACACGTACAATGAAAAGATTTTAAGTAAGTTGCACTTTACTATCGTAGTGTGAAAAAGAGACGCCAGAGAAGCTTATATAAAATAACAGTGTCTTACATTTCAGATTTGGAAAACGAGCTCAAGAAAGGGCAAATGGAGTACGACAATTTAAACGAGAAGTTCAAGGAATTGACAAATTTAAAAAAGCAATATGAATCGGATAACGAAACGCTCAATAGGTAATACTGTATGCTTCGTTACAATGAAACAGTACTTTAAATTATTTTTACATCGCGTCTATTTGCAGTAAATTGCGAGAACAAAGTACAGAACTGATGGGTATTCGCAAAGAATTGGAGTCAATGCGACAGTCAATGAAAGTAAAAGAAAGCGAATGGCGATCGGAAAAATCAGCTCTGGAAGTGAGCATCGATTAAATATTAGAAAATTTAAAAATTTATTCTGAACAGTATTCAAATGTTTTTTAATTAATCAGTCAATCATAAAAAAAACAATTATCAATTCCAGAATCGTCTGCGGGAAAGCGAAATGCCAAACAAAATTTTGATAACAGATTTGAACAATGACATAAACAATTTGAAAAAAGAAAACAATACGTTAGTAACCCGATTAGAAGATTTAAGAAAAGCGGTGAGAAAATTAAATTTTATATATATATGTTATATACTACTTATAGGAATACAAAAATGCAGAAAATGCACGCAGTGTGCGATGATACATAGTATATAAAAAATAGAGCTGCTTGTTAGAATGTTTGACAGGACTATATTTCTTTAATTGCGTTTATAAAAATTCGAAATTACACAAATTAGCATTTATCAGTCTGGTAACAAGTATTATTTTAAAATACATGTTTTGCAGAACGACGACCTTTCTGACAAACTGAAAGATTACGAAGCAGTGTCAAAGATTCATCAAGTTCTAACGCCAGACACCACGACTCTGGAGTCAGAGATACGAAAATTGAAGAACGCCCTTGAGAACATGGAGAAAGCGAAGAAAGCTGATTTAGCTCAGTGCAAAATGCGTTACGAGCATAGAATTGCTGCTATCAACGATGAAATTCAAGCCATTCAAAATCAATTATCCAGGTACAAACGCGAGCGCGACACGTACAAACATATGTTAGAAGGTGCTCAGAAAACGATCGCAGAGTTAAAGTCTGCTAAAGGTAGACAGTCGAATGCATCTTCTGGGAAGTCTGACGAGGTTCGTTATTTTTGATCTTGTTCCATTCATTCCTCTAAAATTGTTTGCGCATCGCATCAAGGACGATTGTTACATTCTATATAAAATATTCATTCTTTTCTTCCTCAGGAAGAGGAAGTGTCTGGTGCGAGTAAATTGGTTCTGGAAAGGCAGATCAACAGCTTGGAAGACGAGCTTTCCGAAACGAGATTAGAGACATCTAGATTGAAAGCCGAGTTGGTGTCTGAAAAGTCGGCGAGTCACGTTAAAGTATCTGAACTGCAATCGCGAATCAACGAGGTATTTAAGTATCTTGTCCAACAGTTTGTTGGCATAATTCGAAATATAATATATTTGCTCGCTGTTTATCTTTATCTCGCATACTTAGCTCGAAGAAGAGAAAGTGCTCACTAGCGGCAGAACAAAAATCCCAGGACTGAAAGTTCGTATGGAGTTAGCGTGGCAAAAAGAGAGGGAAGAGCATCAGAGGCTATTGCAGGAGACTGCTACGCTGGCGAGGGATTTGCGACAAACTTTATTCGAAGTACATGTTGAATTAAAACTAGTATCGTTAGCGTAAGAAAAACTGAAACAAGTATCGTTTTTGTAGCTCGAAAGGGAACGTTCCAAGGAACGGCTAGAAAATAAGAGACGACAAGACCAATTGAAAAAAGTGTACGACGAAGAGAAGGAAGAGAGCAAGAAAAAATTGTTGGAGGTAAAGATATAAAAATTTTGAATTTTCTCTCTTTCTTTCTCTCTATTTGATTCTGACTTCTTTGAAAATCATTTTTACAGTTACAATGCGATTTGCTTGAATTAAGGGACGCTCATGCGAAATTAAGGACTAGCAACGAGAAAATGAGACGCGAAAAGGAACGTCACGAAAAGGAGAGGGAAGAGCTCAAAGATGTAATTTTAAAGAAATACAAACAAGAGCAGATTGAATTGCGAAATCTTAATGTACTGATGCAACAAGTTAATGATTTAATGAAACTATTCCCCGAGTTGAACGGCATAGCACAAAATGGCACTGCGAATACTTACACGCCGACTCCACCGAGACGATTAAAAGTATATTAAATTATAAAATCACTAAAAAAAAAAAAAAAAAAAAAAGACAATTAAGTAAACTAAAAATCAATATGACAAATTATTTTTATAACACAGGGGCCAAAATCGAGAGAATCGTCGCCATTGTCGGATTCGAGAAGTGACATAAGGGGTATGATTAATGTTATTAAATAGTTCAATTGAAATCAGATGGCAATGTGTGAAATTTATTGGTAGGTTCGAATTCTCAACTTGGTGAGAGGACAGAAAAATTAGAATATACCGTTAAAAAATTAATGGACGTGGCGAAAGAACTGAAAGAATCGAAGAAAGCAGCGGACGAAATAAACACAACGCGATTGAAGAAAATCGGCAAGAGGTATTTATTACCAACAGTGACCTTTCGTTTTATTCGTTATGAAAGAGCCTAATATTAAAGAAGTCAATTTTATAGATCAACATCCGTGGAGAGCGACCCGGGTAAAGGTATAACAACATCTCGTTCGAAACCACGTTTAAAAAGAAAAAGTCTATCTTTGGAACAGACATCAGCACGAAATGAAGAAGTACGTCATTATTGTGACACTATTAAGCTTTTGACAATAAGTATACTGGAGAAAATACCATTATTTATTTTATTCATACTTGTACAGTCACGCATTTGGGGCACTGATAGCAACATGTCCAGTTTGCAATCATTAGAAAGTTCGGATGCTGAAGGACGAGCTCTAAGTTTGCAGAGAGATTCCAGTGTTGACAGGTAATTCAATGATCACTTTCACATATAATAATAATAATTTGTTAATTAGTTACTAAATAATAAAGCTATTAACGATAATTTGTTCGATAACAGTATACAATATTAAAATTCCACGATTTGAACATTCAATGACCGAGAAAAATAAGATTAATTATAATTGAATTTCTAGTCGCCTCTCTACTGGTTCTACTAAGAGTGAGATGTTGGAGCGAGAAAAGAAGCACAGTAAAAGTATAATAAAAAAGATAACGACCAAATTGACTAAATCAGCTAGCATGGATGACCCAAATATTTCCATGGACCTTTCTCTTCAGGTATATAAACGAGCAGGCATCATACGTTTAAAAGGATCTATTACATCAGTTGGTTTAAAATTATTCTCTTTATTGTTGTCACAGACATCGGGATCCGAGACAAGCATCAATGAAAAGACTGAAAAGAAAAATCTGAAGAAAAAGTTAACGGACATGTTCAAAAGAAGTTCAAGAAGCAACAGGTACGTTTTTATTTAAAACGAGAAGGTTGAAAAAGATCCATATAATCAATAACAGTTGATAAAATTGTACAAAAAACTTTCGTATTCGAAAACACTTTAAAAAAAGTATCATTTCTAAAATGTTGAAAAGAGTGATAAATTAAATAAATATATGTACATATATACATTCGTACATGTATATACGAATTACGAGAGTAAAATTAAAAAATTTTCAATAAAAATCGAAATGATGTTTTTCTTACATTTTCAGCGTAGAGAAGAAAATAAATTCCACGAGTCAAAGTAGGCCAGCATCGAGAAACTCCACAACGTCGAATAAATGATTCAATCACAAATTCTGCACTATCGTTGAATTGTACAACGATAAAAAAATTCTAAGCCTCGAATAGTATAAAAACAAAAACATATACAAAAGGATACATATATTCCTGTATATATCGAACTATCTCAATATTGGATTTGCACAAGCATTTTCAAATATTTCATTGAACATATACAAGGCACCGTACGATGATGCAAATAAAATGGAACGTATAATAAATACTTCTTCATTTAATTTTCTTGTTACTCCAATTTCTTACATTGCGAAGCACGCTTTTCTTTTTTCGATTTCCGCTTATGTTTCGAACTTTTATGTTCTTTGTGTTTGTGCTTCTTCTTCTCCTTTTTTGACTTCTTTACTTTCTCCCGTTCCACCCATACACCACACATTTCGGAGTCCACTTTGGGTCTTGGTACTACGACACTTTTAAATACAGACTTTAATGTTTGAGAACTAGATGGTTCTGCGGTTTTACTTTCAGTTTTTAACAATCTCGAAGGAAGAACAGGCCCGTACATATTCAATAACAATTGAGTCTCCGAAGGATTTGAATTAGAATTATCTTGTTGAGGTTCAGTTTCTAATTCAGAATTTACTGTGTTCACATCTTTCTCTTTGCTCGTTGTCTCATTCAATTGTACGTTACTTTTCGTATTGTTAACTAAACTATCTAGATCCACCTTTGCAAAAATTCCCCGTGGTGGAGAGGTGTTTCTATTTACATTTATCTCACTTGGGACTTTGCCGATCAAAACCGATTTTACGGCCTCGCTGTCTAAGCTTTCGTTTGACTCTGAATCAGATTCTTCGCTACTGCTTAAGAAAATTGATTTAAAAAGATCTTTCTTCTCTTCTGATTTACTTTTTGACGTAGAGGTTTTCATCGTGGAACTGATATTATTTTGACTTTTATTCTGTTGATCCATAGTTTCTGTGTCTGTTGTTCCACTTGAGTCTGTCTTTAAGGATGTTTCTGAAACTTCTTTTCCAAAAACTTTCTCGTAAGAGACTTCGAAATTTCTCATCTTCTCTGATACAAGTTCGATAGTTTCATGATTGTGGAAAAATATATCATCACTCGTCTCTTTAACATTTGAATCCGTATTGTCAATAACGTGTTTTACTGTATTATCAAACATATTTTTGTTTGTATTTTCACTAATACTTGATATACTAACATCATTTGTTTCCTTCGACGCCTGCAAAAATTTCACGGAATTATTCCAATCGAGAGAATCGAAGATCGAAAACTTTGCCGATCTTTTTTGCATCTCTGGTTGGGCACAACCAACCTTTGGTTCTGGAATATTGAATCTTTTACAAACTATGCTCACTGGCTTCCATTCTACACGCTCTCGAGTTAACTTCCCAAACATTTTCATCTTTACAGCCTGTTTAATTTCATCTTCTTGACTAGAGTGCGCAGAAACTTCCGATTTACTGGGATCAGAAGCACTTGTAAATTTATTCGCAACATATTCATTCGTCGGTTGTTCAAACAATTTGATTGCTTGTTCAAATTCAATTCGTTCATGTTCTCTATCCCATTCTGTCATAGACAATGGCTGTATACTTTCAAGTTTATTTTTCTCTTCCTCTTTTATGAAGACTAAATATTGCTCAAATCGTCTTTGTTTATCAGGATCAGAAAAATATGGTTTCACAACGTTACTCTTCGCAGAATTATCTTGATACAATTTACTTTGTTTATCAGAAGTCGCCGAAGAATCCTTGAATTCTTCTAATTTTTTTAAATTTCTATCAGAATCTTTACTGGGACCAACGGTGCCTCCTTTAACAAAATTTTGTGCAGTCAGTTTGTCCATCCATGATATAGCTGCCTTGGCACGTTGATTTTCTTCTTTCTGTCTTTCTTCCGTTTGTTGCTTCCCATGTAAATTTAACGTTTTCGAGATGATATTAGAAGCCACAGATGGTACCGAATTCGGATGCGTTTCAAATGGTTTTTTTGTATTGTATGTATTGTATGTATCTTCCAAAATTTTTGCTCTATCTGCAGCAGTAAGATCTTTGCGTTTTCCATTCTGCGTTCTACGAGGAACATTTTCGATTGGTGGATAAAATCTGCTTTTTCTAATTGTATGCACAGGTACGAAATTTTTGGGCAATTCCGGAGGTGGAAAGACTTTTTTCAATTCTAATTTATTCTTTGCCAATACGAAACCTTCTAAACACTTGTTTAAACTTCTCGAACTACCATCCTCGGACCACCTTGTTTTGGTTTTTCGTTCAGGACCCAAGGAAAAATCATAACGCGACATGTCTTCTCTCTCATATATATCTTCATCATCAGCTTCGAATGCTCCAACACCAAATGCTTGCCCATGTATCGATAACTTTTTGTTTTTATCCCGAATACTAAATGCCGGAGTTTCAAATAAATTTACATGACCAGACAATATAGTTCTTCTGTCTAAACCACTATATC